TTAGAGATCTAAAAATAGACTTGCCATTTGATCCTATAATTCCTCTACTAGGTATACATCCAGAAGGCCAAAAATCACATTATAACAAACATATACATACCAGAATGTTTATTGCAGCCAAATTCATAATTGCTAAGTCATGGAAGAAGCCCAAGTGCCCACTGATTCATGAATGGATCAATAAATTGTGGTATATGTACACCATGGAATATTATGCAGCCTTAAAGAAAGATGGAGACTTTACCTCTTACATGTTTACATGATGGAACTAGAACATATTCTTCTTAGCAAAGTATCTCAAGAATGGAAGAAAAAGTATCCAATGTACTCAGTCTTACTATGAAACCAATTTATAGCTTTCTTATGAAAGCTATAACCAAATTATAGCCCAAGAAGAAGGGGAAAGGGGAGAGGGAGGGGAGGGGAGGAAGAGGATGGGTGGAGGGAGAATAATTGGTGGGACCACACCTACGGCATATCTTAAAGGGTACATGTGAAATTTACTAAGTGTAGAATATAAATGTCTTAACACAATAACCAAGAAAATGCCGTGAAGGCTATGTTGATGAAAGCATTTCAGATTGTGTGTAAAACCAGTACATCATACCCCATGATTGCATTAATGTACACAGCTATGATTTAATTTAAAAAATGAGAAAAAAACCCTGATATTACTTTTTATTGTTTTGTTTTTACATTTTTTGATTTCTTATGAATTTGCTGTTCTCCTTGTGGCAAATTTTCTTAAATAGTATTAAAATTAGTTTTACAATTTGTTAACTTACTCATGATGAATTTAAAAGTTTTTACTATATTATCAGGCAATATGCTGGATATTTGTTATATAACAGTGGATAAAATAGGAAGAATTCTTGTCCTTATAAAACTTACCCTCAGTGGATTTGGGTTTCAAATAGTTTCCTTTTCTCTATTCAGGTAACCCTTACTTTTATAAGATCCCACACCCTCCACAGAAAAATACCACAAACCACGTTCTTGCACTTTTTGTGACTTCATAAAAAAGATGTAAGGAATAAAATATGGCATGCACATCCATATGCCATTTGTTTTTTTCTGAGACAGGGTCTCATTCTACTTCCCAGACTAGGATGCAATGGCATCATCATAGCTCACTGCTCACCCCACCCAACTCCTGGGCTCAACAATCCTCTTGCCTAGACCTCCCAAGTAGCTGGGACTACAGGCATCCACCACAACCAAGTAATTTTTCCATTTCTTTGTAGAAGCAGGGTCTTGCTCTTGTTTAGGCTGGTCTCAAACTCCTGGCCATGAATGATCCTTTTCTGCCTTGACCTCCCAGAGAGCAAGGATTACAGATATGAGCCACTGCCACTGCACCTGGCCTATATGCCATCTTTGCTATCTCTTTGCTTACAATCATACTGCAGATTACTAAATTCAGTAGTGATTAAATAGTAAAACATTAGTAAAACAGGCTTTCTTGGGCTGCCTTAGACACTCACAAACGCTTTCTATGACAGTTTCTATGGGAAAATGATACCAACTTCAAAACAACTGACTTAGCAAATGTATTGCTGGAGCATACGCTGTTTGTAAGTTGTTGACAGCCTGTACTTAGGCAACTGCTAGCTTAAATAGCTAAAAACTATCTGGCACCCACACAGAAGTTCTTGTACACATACTTTATGGTTGAATTCCTTCTATGACACTCACTAAGGCATAATAATTAAGAGAGAATGTCAGCCTTTAGAAGTATCCGTTGGGGCCCTTCCACCAGCTGGAATCTCCACACTATGCTAGACTTTAGCTACAAGTTTGCCTACACTGGTAGCAGAAAATTTAATTCATGCTTCTGAGCAGCCTCTGAGGCACAGCATTTATATTTCATAGCAATTCTTACTTTTTCTTCTTTTCTTACACCAGCAAATGAAAATTCCCCAATTTTAAGCTGTCAGAACAGCTGAATACTGTCATCATCAGATAAATTAAATGCTTGTCTCAGAGAGAAACTACTCTTTAGAAATTCTTGTGCATCTCAGAGCAAAGAAAAAAATGTTATTGACAATTCATCTTTGCTACAAGATGAATGTACTATCACACATAGCTTTTCACAGCTGAGAGCAATTCTAACCCAGGGTGACCAGAAAATTCTCAAGGTTTGGCAAGAGGCATCATGACTACACACCAAACATTCAACTCTCACTTCTACCTAACCTGTGTGACTGTGGGCACGTCTCTAGATCTTTCCATGTTCTCTCATATTCTATTTCCTTCCTCATACTGCTCTATTTGCCTGGAATAGCTTCCCTAATAGTTCCTCCATGTCTCAAATTCATATAAAATGCTGTTCTGTGAAGTCTTCCCTGAATTTACTAAGGCAAATCAGTTTCCTTCCTACTTATACCATTCTAGATTGCCCATGCTCCATCAGATCATTTATCACATTCCTGCTGCATATTTATTATTCTATTTATTGTAGTTTATCATGTTATTTGCAGCCATCATAGGTAATCAGGCAATATACTATCACTACTGATCTTACTAGTATTAATAGTACTATCTTGAGTGCTTACTATTTTTTAGGCCCCATATTAATCTATTATCTCTGATTTTCACAAAAGTTCTACGAGATGAGAATTTCAGTTTTTGACCTTTATGAGAGTAAAACCAAGAGAGATTATACAGATGGGTAGTAAGAACACTGAGAGTCAAGATAAAGTCTATTATACTCTAAAATCCATGTTGAAACCACTACTCTAAAATATTACCTTTAAATAATAATAGACAACATTTACTAAATGCTTACCAGGCATCAGGCTCTGTACTATGTGGTCTGTATGCATCTGCTAATTTGATCCTCACAAAATTTCTGTGTTGTAGATATAGTGACTATGTTCAAGTTTTTGCTTTGTTTTGTTTTGTTTTTGCAGTTTTTGGCCAGGGCTGGGTTTGAACACCCCACCTCTGGCGTATGGGGCCAGCGCCCTACTCCTTTGAGCCACGGGCACCACCCAACTATGTTTAAGCTTTTAAAAAATGAAATTAAGATTAAGAATGGTAAAATTACCTTCCTGAGATCACAGAACTATGGAGAGTGGATTTGAATGCAGATTAGACTCCCTCCAGAGCCTGAGCCCTTACCTACTACTCTATTCCTTGACCAGATGGTAGAATCTTCTTTAATCTTCACAAATTTTACGTAGGTTTTCAGGAATAACCCCTCTGGAAATAAAACCTGGAGTATTGTCTTTTTCACAAATGCAAACCAACCAAATCGATCAACTCCCTTAGTATACTCACCTTAGTACATGTGTGGATCCATTAATGGTAGTAGTTGAACATGGGACAGTCTGGCCCAGAATGGAAGGTCTTCGATAGCGCTCATCATCACAGCAGAGGATGATGAGGAAGGCACGTCTAAAAGATTTATTCAAGAAGGCGTAGAGAAAGGGGTTCAACCCAGAATTGATATAGCCAAGCCAGAGGAAAGCGGTCCACACCTGCCCAGGGACAGTGTAGTCTACGAAAGGATCCACAATGTTGGTGACAAAGAATGGAGCCCAGCAGAGGCAGAAGCAGCCCATGATGATGCACAGGGTCTTGGCCGCTTTGGTCTCTGTCCTCATGCGATGAGTGCTGTGCTGGTCTGCTGGCTGGGGCCTGACCTCTGAGGGGGCTCCTGCCCGTTGTAACATCTGGATCTGGTGGGCATGTTCCTTAGCTGTGACATAGATGCGATAATAGGCCAGTACCATGAGGAGAAACGGGATGTAGAAGGCCACCACAGAGCAGGTGATGGCATAGGGCTTGTTGACCATGAAGATACAATACGTAGAGTTAGAGTTGTGGTTGAACTTCCTTTTTTCTATCTGAGAGTCGAAGGGAGAGAGGAAAGGAGGAAAAGAGGGAGAAAGGGAAAGCAAAAGTGAAAAACAAGTAGGAGAAAAATGAAAAAGAAAAGCAAAGTGAAAAAGAAGAGAAAAAAGGGAGTTGGGCAATAGAAGGAAGGGGAGCAGAACAGGGAAAGATGTGGAAGAAAGAATGAAAGAAAAGTGTAAAGGGGAAAGGAAAGAAAGAAGAAGGTTGATCAGCAAAGCTTTGATTTTCTTACAAGACTATAGTACACAGAACCTTAATGGCAGAAAAGGAACATGATTATAACCCAGGGCTCAGAGAACTTGTCTATATAAGAGGAGCTAAAGGCCCCAGAAAAGGAGAGAACTAATACAGAGACAGGCTCGTAATTCATTCCATCTATCCAATCAATACTCGAGTCCTGCCTCTGTTCTCCCTTTCCTGTGTGCTTGCACATAATACACCAATATCACAGAACAAGACATCTGCAGATCAGTAACATCAAACTCACCAGCAGTGCATACTGTAAGTGCAGATTTCTGACCCCCCCCCGCCCCGCTCCTGAATCTAAATCTCTGGGCTGTGAGGCCCTGATATTTGCATTTTAGCAAACTGTTTGTGAATAATTCTACACTCATTAATATTTGAGAATCATTGTTCTGTACAATTCTAAACCCAGCTCTTTGGGGGATGGCCGGGGACACTTTACTAAACCCACTTCTCTGCTTACTGAGTGCCCTGATGGAAGTTTTCCTCATTCAGATAATACAGTATTTGAAGTATTGATACAGAGTAACAGCCAAGAGGGGCCTTAGGGCTTGGGAGAATGAAAAGGTAGATATTTTAGAATCACAGGAGAAAATGGTATTCACGTTGTGTAGGGCCAGACCTTGAGGTACCTGGGAACCCAACCCAAGTCAGAACCTCAGCAATACTCACTGTCTCAACTCACTCTCCTCCCTTTCTCTCCCACACCCACTCCATTCGGGTGTCCCTCCTAATCATTCCATTGAAACTGCTCTGATCAAGGTTGCCAATGACCTCCACGTTGCCATGTCCAGTACTCATTTAAAATGAGCCATCTATACCTTCCACACATCTGAACCCTCCTATCTTCTTTTTTTTATATTTTATTGAACTAAAATACATATAAAGTTCACAAATTTCAACGTATACACAGATGGAAAAATTATTAAAAAGTATGTATATCAGTGAAATTGTTATTCAAACCAAACTAGAGACTATTTCCAGCAACCAAGCACCCTCTTAAGGGTTTTCTGCCAGTCATTACCATGTCCAAGGGTACCCACTAATCTTTATCACCACAGTTTAATTTTATGTGCTGTCCAACTTCATACCAAACCAATAATAAAAACATGTACTAATTGTATCTTCTTTAATATTGTATCACGCATATTACTGCTTGCACCATCAATTTATTATTTTTCATGGATTGTAGGAATAAACCACAATTATTGTTCATTGCACTATTGTGAGTAGTCATTTTTTGGTTTTGGATATTTTGAATAAAACTGTTAAGAATATTCTTGTACAAATTTGTATGTATATGTGCATGTGTGCATATATTTTCATTTGTCTTAAGTATTAACCTATGACAGAAATTGTTGTGTCACAGGGAAAATTCAGCTTTTGTATATACAGTCAAATGGTCTCCAAAGAGTTGCATTAATTTACATTCCTGACACTGTGGTAGAGAATTCTAGTAACTCCACTTCCTGAGCAATACTTGGTATTGTCAGGGTATAGTAGTATCTCATTGTGGGTTTGTTGTTAATGGTTATAAAATTTATTAGAGGGTGGTGCCTGTAGCTCAAGGAGTAGGGTGCTGGTCCCATGTACCAGAGGTGGTGGGTTCAAGCCCAGCCTCAGCCATAAACTACAAAAAAAAAAAAAAAATTATTTGATTACATAAGCAAAATACCCCATGAAATCCTTGACTCTCTTTCCAAAGAGTATACATTATGATTGTCTTATGCTTTTTTTTTTTTTTTATCAAAATGTGTCCTGGGCATCAATAACCATCTTATTACAGTGCACTGATGTCACTCCTTTTAGATGGTGTCTGCTTCTGTTTCCTGATTAGCGCACTAGTTCCCTCATTGGGACCAAAGCATTTCCTTCAGAATGGTGTCACCCTGACTCATTCTTGTCAGTCTCAATTCTTGCAGCTACAGCCTCACTTTTAATCCAGGTAAGCCACCTCAAACTCTCAGAGTGCCCTGCTCAGTGTGCCCTGTTCCCCATGACCTACCTATCTGATTCAAATTTTGAAGAAAATCAAATAAACTGGAATCAAATTTAAGTTCATCATGACCTTTGGATTCTTCCCATGGTTTCACAGTGCATTTCCTGATAACTAATAATATTAATTATTATTATTGATTATAATTAATTGTTATTGATTATTCAGCTATTTTCCCATTTAAAAAAAATTAGGCTGTGCTACTCTTATTGATTTTTAAGAGTTGTTTTGTATTCTGGGTATGTCTTTTGTCAGATGTATGCATTGCAAATATCTCCCATCACTTTGTGGGATGCCATTTTACTCTCATACCAGTTTATCTTGTGATAGACAATCCTAATTTTAAAAACCCTGTAATGTTGGTTAATACTTTAATGTCTTATTTAAGAATTTTTTGTTTTCTCTTAAGTATAAAGATATTATTTATAATCTTTTGAAGAAATTCTCCTATGTTGTCTCTTAGTACATCTTTACTGTGTTAATTTTTACGTTTAATTCTTCTGCCTATCTGGAATTAGTTTTTCTTTATGATGTAAATTAGAAGACATGATTAAACTTTTACCTTATGGATATCCAATTGACTGAGCAGAATCTATTGAAAAGACCACCTTTTTCCAGGTTTATTACAATATAACCTTGGTCATAAGTCAGGGGAGTGTACGTGCATGGCTCTGTGTTTGGAGTTTCTATTTTGTTCTCTTGAGTTGTCTGTCTGTTCATCATTCTGTTTTGACTTCTGTAACTTTATTAACCTTGGATATCTGGTAATAAGGACCTTTGAACTGTGGTTTATCTTCTTGAACACTAGTTTCAATTTTCTTGTGTTTCAGTATTTCCATATAAATTTAAATTAGTTCATCAATTTCCAAAAAAAAAAATGTTCTAGGAATTTGATTGGATTAGAATAGAGTAATTGAGGAAAACAGACATCTTTACGAAGTTAAGTCCTCCAATTCATGAACACTTTAATTCCCTTTGTTTTTTAAGTGTATTTCAGTGATATTTTGTAATTTTATATGCAAATGTCTTGCCTATCTTTTGTTAGAGGTATTACCATTTTATGTTTTTATACTGCTTTAAGTGGTACCAGGCTAAAATTCTTATTTCTAATCATTTGTTGCTGATATGTAGAACTCAGTAAAAATTTTTCTATATTGGCTTTGTATCCAGACACTTTGCTAAGTTAGTTATTAACTAATATTTTACCTCTAGATTCTTTTGATTTTTCTCCATGAACACTCATATGATTAGCTATAATAGTTACATATTTTTCTTTCTGATCTTAATACCATTTTTCTTTTCTTTAGCGAACTTGATAAAACCTCCAGTGTAGTTTTGAATAAAAGTGATCATTATAATTGACAAACTATTTTATTTCCTGTTTTAGGGTGAGAGACCTAAATATTTTACTATTTAGTATGATACTTGCATTAAGTTTTATGTCAATGCCCTCTGCTTAATTCAGGAAATTCCCTCCTATTCTAAGTTTAATGAAATTTTTAAAAAATCATAAATGGGTATTGAAGTTTGTTAGTACATTTTTGGCAATAATGAGATGGTCATGTGAGTTTTCTTCCCTTTCTTTCATTAATGCAATGAAAGACATTGATTGCATTACATTCCCAGAATAAACTTCACTTTTACTGGATACTGTGATACGCTAAATTCTTTTTAAGGATTGAAAGAATTTTCCACCAACTATAAACACTGCCTGCTGACTACTCTTAGTCATCACCCTTCTCCAAGAATAGCCTTTGACTAACTTAACTCAATGTTACTTCCTCTTCTCAGGGTCAGCCTACATCCAATGTGAATATACACATGAATAAAGATATGGGAAATATTAGTTTTATACACATTTAGTATCTTGTTTTATAATATACATATTATAAAGTTATAGTATATCTTCCTCTTGAATTGATATTTTGATCTCGTGAAATATCTCTATCTCTAGAGACAGTACTTGTCTTAAATTTTATCATCTATAATAGCAGAGCTACACCAGGTTCCTTTGGAGTAGTGTTTGCACGGTGTATCTTTTTCTACTGTTTTATTTCACCTTTTCCTCTGGCATTTAAGGTCAAACACAAGAGGCCTCCCTAAATGCCTTCATCTTTATTCTTTGTTTTGATAAATTGCGTATGACCACATAGTTTAAGAACAAAACCATAAAATTAAAATGAATGCCACCTTGATTGGCCAAATGGCTCATAGAGGTCTTGGCTTATTCTTCATAATCTATTTTTATATTATCACATTATTCCTTCATCTGCTAGCTTATGGGTTGTATGTTCCCTTATTAAACTTGTGAAGAATCAATATTATTCTTATCTGACTAGTGGGTGCTCTTCTGTATTACCCACATATTACCATTCCTAGTGCTCTGCCCTCTTTCCTGTTGTGTGGCACTTCCATCTGTGATCATCTTCCTTTTGTCAGAAAAATTTGTTAAAGTAACATTTAGTACAAACTTGTTGCTGAAAACTTGCCTTTGCCTGTGTCTTTACTTCTTAATTTTTGAAGAATATCTTCAATGGGTATAGAATTCTAAGTTGTAATATTTTCCATCATTGTAAAGATGTTGTTCCATTGTCCTCTTGCTTCCATAATTGCATTGCTTGATCAAGTGTCTTATTTTCTCTCTTTTCTCTAAATACATTGAGATTTATTTCCTCTTTGATTTTTAGCACTGTTTAAAATATGAATTTTTTAGACATAGTTTTCTTTTTTAACTTATGAGATTTTATACAAATTTTAAATCTGTGACTGACAGCTTTCATTAGTTTTGAAAAATTCTAAGCCAGTATTTCTTCAAATATTACTTCTGCTACATTTTCTTTCTCTCCTTTCCTTCTAGAATGCCAATTATACAAAGTATAAACATCAGAACTTTTGTGTATGACATATACACACACACACATATATCACAATTGTATGTAATTTTTATTTATTTTATCTCAATCTGGACATTTCTATACACCTAAATTCTAGTTTATTATAGGTCTTCTTAGCTATGTCTAACATACTATTATATTCATCATTATGTTTATTTACTTTTTCTTTTATTGCATTTATTACTTCCAAAATTTCCATTCAATCCTTTTTTTTCTTTTTGTAGATTCTAGTCCTCTAGCAAAATTCTTCAGGTAAAACAGAGAATTAACTAAAGGTTAAAACTTTCTACTTTCTTTTTAACTATATTAACCTAAGTTATTTGAAAGCCTTCATCAAATAATTCCATTATCTAGACTGCCTATGAGACTATTTCTGTTACCTTTTTATGTTCATGGTTTAGCATTTGGTCTTGTTTCTTACAGTGCCAGGTAACTTTTGATTAAATGACAGATGCCATATATAAAAAATTACATATGTTCTGGGTGGTAATAATGGCCTACTCTACAGAGAATTTAATTTTCTTTTGCCGGGCAGCTAGACTCTAGGAAGGGATGTTCAATCATGTTTAGATTGCATTCAATGCATTTTGAGGGCTAGTTTTTTTGTTTGTTTGTTTTCATTTTTTGCCAGTTTTTCTTCTATGGGATAGACTCTCAGGTGTTTCAATTAGAGTACCAAGGGTGCTTACCAGGGTCCTCTGCCTTAGTAAGCCCTCAGATTCAATTAATCTATATCTTCCCAGTATTGTAAGGCTGCTAAAATCTCTGGTGACTTTTTTTCTTTCTCAGCTGTTGCTTCCAACTTAATTTTTTTTGTTTGGTTTGTTTTGTGTACCTAGCCCAATCATCCTCCATTTAGAAGTAAGCAAATGCTCCAAAAAAAATTATATGCTAAATTTTAGGTTCATCTGTCTCTAAGGTTTATACCTGTCTGGAATCTTAGTGACTCAAGTTGCAGGCACCTTGGCATCATCACCTCTAAACTCTCTCTCCCAGTTCAGTGAGACAGCCACAAATCTGACCCTCCTGCTTTCCATTCAGCCTCTATCTCTCTATCCAAAAATAAGTAAAGGCTCCCCCCAAAACAGTAGTGGTCTTCTTTTATTCTTTGAGATCCTAACTACTCAATTCTTGCCTTGGTTACACTATACTTGTTCTCTAAGTATTTACTTGATTACTCCCTCTTTCCCTGCAGGACTCTCCTTTAGCCATATCTTATCAAAGAGGGGAAATTTCACATAAAAATAATAACATCTTCTCATCAGTTGCTATGTTTTTACTTGTTTTGTTTTTTATGCCTTTTTAAAATAAAATTGAACACTTAAACTATATTTTAGTTTCTTTTCCCTAAATTTTAAATGTCAGAAGAGGTGGATTTTTTTTTTTTCATTTGTTTCTGGAGTAACTACAGAAGGTGGTGGGCATTCAATTACAGTTTTTGAATGAATGAATAAATGGTGCTTTGAGCTTAGATTTTAAAGTCACATGACTTCCTTTATAAATGAATATAAAACATGCAATATTGTTTTTATGATATTAAAACATGTAAAGGATTTTAGTATAATATTTATAAGAAGAAAAATGATACCATTAAGCAGCATCTAGGATTAGGAACATGGTTCCGAAGCAGCACAAAAATTACTATACTTACTATATAAACACTTAACTTTGAATTTTTAGGGAGTTTCTTTCACATCATGTTCATAATCTTGCAGTGGGTCGGTATAGTTCCTAATTAATAAAATCTGGAGATGGAATGAAGGATTTCTATAAAAGCATGTATAGCTTTAAAAGCAAAGGTGATTCCACTGCACAAAGGAAGAAAGTTCCTGGAGTAGGTACCTGCCCTGGGCATTGTCTATATATGTGTGTGTGTTCAGATTTATACTTGTGGGTATACAGTGCAGCCTCATTGTTCATGGTTTCCATATTTGTGAATTCACTGACTCACTGAAATTTATTTATCAATTTCTAAATCTTTGGCATCAATACCAGGGGCATTTTCACAGTCATCTGCAGACATGCTTGTACACATTTGAGTCGCCTGATAGGCATGTTTCCAGCTGAAGTCAAACAAAGCAATGCTCTGCTTTCTTGTCTCATTTCAACAAGGGTCCTTTTTGCTGTTTGTTGCTGCATATTTTACCTTTTTCTCTTTGTTATTGGTGATTCCACATTTTAAAGTGGCCTCTACCTGTAGTGCTGAAGTACTACCTAGTGTTCCTCAGTATAAGAAGGCAGTGATGTGCATAACGGGGAAAATCCAGGTGTTAGGAAAACTTCATTCTTACCTAATAAATTAGAGTGCCTTGGCCTGAGTGATAACGCCTTGGCCATGAGTTCAGTGCTAATGAAGCAACAGTACAAACTAAATAATTGCCTTTAAACAGAAACACACATGAAGTAAGTTTATGTATTAATTGGTTAATGAAAATGTTATGACCAGAGCCTTGCAGAAACCTAACCCTCTATTTCCCCTAAGAGCAAATATTCACTATTTGCAAATTCAATATTTGCAGTAACTTTATAAAGCTTGACTGCCACAAGTAAGAATCAGATACATAGGTATCACGAACAAGGGGAAATAATTACACTTTTGTGAAATGGGGAAATAATTATACTTTTCTCAAAAGGATGCTGTCAGAATTATATGTAAATTGTTTAGTATGCTGTCTGGCATACAGTTATGTTAGAGAAAAATTATTCATGGCATTTGTTAAAGTGTAAGGCAGATTTTATTCAGGACTATGGTGATAGGTTATAGGGACTAATGCAATGGGCTTTTGCATAAGGGGAGAAAGACTGGGCTCAACTCTTAATACCACATGGAAAAGTGGGAATTCATAGCCAAATAGCATGGTGGGTAGGTGGGTGGAGGGTCAGTGGATGGTAAATTACTAAGAGGAAAGGTTAGGGGTAAGGGAGGAATCTGGCTAAACCAATCTAGCATGATTCTTGCTGAAGACAGGTCTGAGTGATCAGACATCGCCTGGAGTGCGGGTGGGGGATTGTGGCAGATGAGGAACTTGATCAGATATTGAGGGTAGGGAACTTTGGCTAATCCAATTTAGCAAGATTCTCACCAAAACTGGGGATGTAAAGACATATAATGAATTCCAAAAGTCCAAGCCTAGACTTTTTGTTAATAAACTATCAAAAATGTTACCTTTTCTAACTTTCTTAGAATATCCATCCCATCTAATACTACTGGTTTCTTTAGAATCCCAAGCCAAGTTGTACAGACAGTAAAGCTGGCAGGGTCTGTGTAGATACTTACCAGATCAACTATGCCAATATTATTCCAGCCTTGCATTATAGGGAGGAAAGAAATAAACATGGGGATGACCCAGCAGCCTCCCAGCATTAGTGCGATGCGCAGAGGGGTCATCTTGTTCCTATAGACCAAAGGCTGGCAGCAGATGGCATAATACCTGGAGGGAGAGTAGAGGGAATGGGCCAGGGCAAAGAGAAAGGGAAGGGAGAGTGAAGAGAACAACAGATGAGAGAGGAGAGGAGGAAAGAGGGAATGGAGCAAGGGATAGAGAAGAGGAAATAATGAGGAGGTGGGGGCAGAGAACAAACATGAGGAAGAAAGGAGAGAGTATGGAGAGCAAAAGACAAAGTGGGCAGTAGAAGAAGAGAAAGAGAAGAGAGAGAGAAGGGAGGAAAGAAAAAAGCAATTATGCAATAAAATACGTTACATTGACCTATGAAATTTTGATAATATAAATATATACTTTAGATGACATCTGAAATTGTCTAGAGTCAGTCCCATAGATCTCTCCATCTGCAGGAGCTCCACACACTGGATGGACTTCTCTGTCCCAGGGGTGGTCCTCATACTACCTTGATGCCTGAGCAGTCAGAGGCTCCCGTCCAGCCCTCTGACCTCAGCATGCATGTGCCTGTCGCCTGACTGACTACACCGTGAGGGTGAGTCAGGCACGGCCCTACATCTGGGCTTACTATATCTCAGATTGGTCCCCTTCGTCTTGGTCACTTACCTATGCTGAAGTGGGGATCTAGTCAGGATTTTTTAAATTGAGGTCCAAGGATTCCCCTCTCTTTCCACTGCCCCAGACTCCTGCATCAGACTCACCTGAGGGACCTTTTTGAAAATGCAGATCCCAAGGATCTCCTGAATCAGAGCCTGCTGGGAGTCACTTGGAGCTTGCCTTTTGACAAGTGAGAGTCATTACTGCTGCTTACTACACATGCCCACACATGCCCTGTTTCCCCTTCCAGTCATGTGCACTTCCTGCCTCCTTATGGTTGGGTGGGATCAAGTAACTGGTCCTGGCCAATAAATCATGAGCAGAATTGACATATCACCCCGGGACAGACTATATTTTTCCTTCTGATGACAAAAATGTAATATTTTGAATATCTCCTGCTTTATCATTTCCTCTCTACAATTTGAGATCCTCCATCCCCATGTACTAGGATATAATCTCTCTCCTGGACTCACTGCTCACTCTCCTAAGTCCATCTTCTGCCTATGGTACTAGCTTTCTTCCTACCTCCAGAAAGAGGTGCAATCTGCCCCACTCAAAGGAGTTCTAGCCTTTAATGCCTCAGAGATTAGCCCTTCTATGCCCAGGCGTGGCAGGGAATCTAACAATATGCAAAATATTGCAGTAGGTCTATCAACCAATGCTCTCTGAAAAAGTTTTGAAAAAGAAGAAGAAAAAAGTACAAAAAAGAGCCTGGAGGCTAAGTCTATTCTTTAATATTTTATACCATTTAGTAATGAGCCACCCCCTTACACCCTTCATTTTATGCAGTTCATTTTATTAATTTTCCCACCTCTTCTTTTCTTTTCTTAATTCAAATCATAACTAATGTAACAATGGCTATGAACAATGGCTTTGAAGAGGTGGTGGTAGGATGGGTTGCAAGAGAGGGTGGAATGAGAAGGACAGCCCAGTGCTGGAGCATGAGAAGTGGGTGCATTGGCAGCTGGGAGGGGAGAATTAACCCCTTTCCTGCAAGGAATAGAGGAGGAGCACCATGCCAGGAAGCTCCCTCTATCTGACTGACAAGTCCAGTGGTGCATCCTGAGCTGGACTAGAAGATAAGGAACAGAAGACCAAAGAATGGGAGAGGGGCTCACTCAGGAACCTGTTGTCTCCATTATAAAACTGCCTTGGCAGCAAAATCTAACTGAAGATAACTCAGTAGTGAAAAGAATCATTATTAACTGGATTCCCTCCATACTCTTGATTTATAAGAAAGGCAAATCACATCTGAGTGCAAATTTTTCTGAATAGTGGTAATAATCATATATGTTTACTATCAACGGAAGTAATGATAAATTTGAAGTTTATAAAATTTTTCCCCAAAATTTTGTTCCCTTTCTCGTTTCCTGTTGGGAAGGGGGATTTTTTTCCTCCACATTTAATATCCTTCCTACTTTCTCTCAGTAATAGCATCTCAAATCCTTTAGGAATTATTTCTTTGCTGTTGTTGTAGTGTTACTGGGAGAGCAAATGGTGGGGCTCTGAGTTTTCTAGCCAAGGAGGGCCCCAATCAGACTTTCTCCTAGGACTGAACATCAAGCAGTATGACGCAGAAATGGAAGGTCAACAGAGGGCAGAGGGCAGAGGCCCCCATATTCCAGCAGCAGCCTCCTGGCAGGGCTGGGGATTAGTTCCTGCCCCTGGGATCTTTCAGCCATCATGCACTTGCCCCTCAAGCCCACATTCCTTATCTCTCCCTTCAATTAAATAATCCACCTCTTGTCCTTTCATTAAATTTGCTGTCTGCTTACAGTAGCATTATGTGTAAGTCCTCCCTCCAAAAGGGTAAGTTAAAGTTCCAATTCTCAGTACCTTGGAGTATGACCTTATTTAGATACAGGGTTTTTACAGAAGTAATCAAACTAGGGTGAGCCCTGATCAGGTATTATTACTGGTATCTTCCTAAAATGCAAATTTTGACACAAAGACTGATATGAATGGAAGGAAGATAGATGGCCATGTGAAGACAGGGGATTGGAGTAATGATAGTAATGTATCTATCCACCAAGAAACCCCAGCAAGTGCCAGAAATCACAGGAAGCCAGGAAGAGGCAAGAAGGAATTATTGTCTACAAGTTTCAGAGAAAGTATGACTCTACTAATGTCTTAATTTCAGACTTTTAGCCTCTAGAACTATGAGACAATAAATGTATATTGTTCTAAGTCATCTAGTTTGTATATTGTTCTAAGCCATCTAGTTTGTTCTTACAGCTCTAGCAGACTAATACAGGTGGCTAAGGGCAAGTGCTGTTGCTTACAACCAAAGTTACCCACCCTACATAGAGCAGTAACACTGATTTTGACATATATCCTTTGCAGATGGACTTTTCTTTTTTCTTTTCTTTTTTTTTTTTTTGAGACAGAGTCTCACTATGTTGCCCTCGGTAGAGTCCCGTGGCGTTAACAGCTCACAGCAACCTCAAACTCTTGGGCTTAAGTGATTCTCTTGCCTCAGCCTCCCAAGTAGCTGGGACTACAGGCACCTGCCACAATGCCTGGCTATTTTTTTGTTGTAGTTGTCATTGTTGTTTGGCAGGCCCGGGCTAGATTCCAACCAGTCTGCCTTGTTATATGTGGCCAGCAACCTAGCCGCTGAGCTACAGGCACTGAGCCTGTACTTTCTTTTTCTATGTAAGAATACCTTTGTTTTATTTGCTATGCCTTCAGGTCATACCTCAAGTTATGGTGCTCCTTCATCCACCACCCCAAAGAAAGGCTGGATGAAGAACAGAGGCTGCTCTATCTTTGTTGTGTAATCATATATAAGGTTTAGAATCAGGAGCCAGATTTCAAGAATTTTGGATAGATCCTCAGTCTCACAGAAATCCAAAAGTTGGACAAGAAAAGGCCACATTAAACATCCTATAGGACGAAAAGTAAGTGTGAGGAAGTAGGATGTCTAACCTGAGAAGATTCTTCTGATTTCCTGAAGTGAATATGATATTTAGAGGGTTTAGTTGGAAAGACAATAGAATTCACAAGAGACTTTAGAATATATGGTTATATTGACGCTCATAACATTTTAATGAAAGCCTTTCTAAGTCTAGTTTGGCCAGGGTCTTGAGGCATGATGAATATCCCATGAATGGTATAATCTCCCCATAGACCACAGACTGTTGCTCTGCCCTTGATTACTAGGAGCTGCTGATACAGAAAACTAGTGGTCACAGGTTTCCTTTTGAAATTCAGCTTCAAAAAGGATACTGTGAAGTATACTGTGAATACTCCCTTATAAAACGAAGTGCATATCCAAGCGTACTTGAATTTGCTAGGGACTGGGAATTCACCGAGCACATTCCTTATCCACTTTTATCTACTCCTTATACATTTTACACATATACTTAGTTTCCTGGACAATGAGTGCCTGAACTAAAGATGCTTGGAGAGCCAGCTCATTCTATGAGGAGGTACAGTGGAACGCACCCATGCACAGATGGTTGTAGAAAGCTGGTCTTATATAATCTGGGTGGTTAAGTAAGCCTCAGAAATCCTTCATTTCTTTTTTTTTTTTTAAATCAGCAATAAGTGGGGGGGGAATCTTTTATTATATTTAAATTTAAATTAAGTTGGTTAAATTGTGAGTGACAGGTAAGAATATGAATTAAAAATATTGAGTTACGTATATGCATATTCTTTACTTAACTCTCATCTTTTATATTTTCTCACATTTGATCCTCTGTCTTATAGTAAACATAATCTGATTATTAAGTGGCATGGAGAATACGAGTTTCTTATTTGGAGCTCCAAATACAGCATCCATTTAGCTTTATGTGCTCAAGATTCTTACCAAAGTCTGGGTACCCTTGAGGCAGCATCCCTAAATAAGTCACCTCAGATCCTTCCAAATCTTACCAATCTTTGCTTTCAAGCAAAGAATCTAGAAAAGCAAACATCCTCTGCAGGCTGCACTCAAGAATCTAAATTAAGTGGGTGAAAAGAAACATCACTGAAAAAAATGATTAATAAAAATGAGCTCCGGCTCGGCGCCTATAGCTCAACCGGCTAAGGTGCCAGCCACGTACACCTAAGGTGGCGGGTTCGAATCCCCAGCCCGGACCCGCCAAACAACAATGATGGCTGCAACCAAAAAATAGCCGGGCGTTGTGGCGGGCGCCTGTGGTCCCAGCTACTTGGGAGGCGGAGGCAGGAGACTCGCTTGAGCCCAGGAGCTGGAGGTTGCTGTGAGCTGTAATGCCACGGCACTCTGCCCAGGGGGACAGCTTGAGGCTCTGTCTCAAAAAAAAAAAAATGAGCTCCATGGTTAACCAATAGATTTCATTTAAAATTCTAATATTGTCTATAAATCAAGCACTAGTTAGAAATCTGGTAACTTTAATCTATTGTGGTTGCTTTTTAGTTCCTACATTTGGATTTTATTTACTCTGTTAATAACCAAAAAGTTTGGCCTGTCA